CAAAAAGGATTACTGAAATTCAAGTATCATAGCTTCACTGAGCACAGTATTTTGTGCCTAATATTAATAACTTTTGGAGGTGGGAAGGTTGTGGAAGAGGAAGAAGAACTGATAAAGACGTTGTTTTCTAAATGTCCACTGTTGTCAAATGTTGGAAGCAGTATTCTGGGCAAGGTAGACTTCTGGTCTGATTAAATAAGGAGTTACTTTTAAAGTCCTCTCTTACATACCACAGAAAGATTGGTTAGCTGATGACAGCAACCCTTTCTGGCCTTAAAGTTAGTAATAAGACCACAGCATCGTGTGCTTTGCTGTCTGTGATAATAAATTAACGACTGTGGACCTATTGGTTTTCTTTCTGTCATGTCTGCTGTTACTGGTTGAAAAAGAGGATTGACAAGTGGAAATACAGAAGTCAAAAAGAAACAGTAATACTTTTCAGGTTGGAAAGCACTCAAGTTGTTCATTAAAGCAGCAGAACGTAACTATGGTGGGTTACTATGTTCTGTATGTATGTAGAATCGGCATAGCATGTAAAGAATTTTTTCAAAAACTTCTAGTCATAAAATGCTTTTTAAACTAACAGCTTTCTTCCCCTCAGTAGGATGTGATTTGTTGGAAGTGTATGCTGTCCTGGAACCATCGAGGAGATGACTAAGTAGGAGGAAAATGGTTTTAACATGCCTTTGCTTTGCCAAGGAATATGGAAACAATAACAGATTTGTCAAGTCTGTGGGTCAGCTAGCCTTGTAGTGATATATGATATTTCTCTATGCATGACATGCTTGGTGTATTGGGTTGTTTTTTTTCTAAAGCACTATTTAGAAGCTGAAAAGTGAATCTTTCTTTGTCCCAATTGCTGTTTATCATCTTCATGGGCATGCTGTTTACCGATCAGATGTATCCAGAGTAGGTGGTAGATCCTGACTTCTCTTCATTGTGGCAGGCACATAATGTGGTCTGTCTTCTCACTCGTTTTACGGTGTAATTTGATAGCCAAGACTTGAGTGTGTTTGGCAGTTGCCAAAGTGTTTCTGGTCCATGTATTAAAGCTCTGCAGTAGTCCTTCTCCCGTTTCCCAACTTTTGTTTTCACCAAGCCATGACACTCTCCATGCCGCCTTTCCTTGTTGCACTGGGCTATGTTGCATCACTTATCAGGTGCCAAGCGGTCTCTTCTTGAGGTTTCAAATAGTGCAAAGGTGATTTCTGGTGTGCTTCCCTCTTTGGAAGAGAACCAACAGCTTAAAAAATGAGTATTCAATTTAATAAGAAATTAAGACTTTAGATGCTGTTTTCTTCCCAATTAAGAGCAGAACCATGCTCTTGGAGGACAAGGAGGGAGTAACAATCACAGACAAAATCACAAGAACACACTTTTTCTCAGTAAAGAAGTGGTAGTAGCTCAGCAGTCAGTTGCTCTGAGATTTGCTGGTGACCAGGTTCAAGTTCTGGCTGTTTGGAGAGGGAGCCTGAACCACTCGGTGACCTCTGTCTCTCCCCCTTTTGGCACTTGTAAAAGTGACCTCATAAATATTTTGTTGCAACAGATATGATCTCATATCCTCTTGCAAACCGCATGTAGACCAGTCACTGAGGGATGGCCCTGTTCAGTGGAGAGTTCAAAGTGTGGGACAAGGCTTTGAGAAGGCAGCAGTGATTTTCAAGAGGAGAGTTGTTTAATAATACCTGGAGGTTTGAAGTGCTGGCCACGTCTCTGCTCTGAAACTGAAGCTTTCTCAGTGCTGAATTGCTAGAGGCTTCTAGATGTCTCCTCAACTTTCTGTTAGTACAGGAGCAAAGGACACCAGCGAACACCCTTTTTAACGCCCTATCCATGACTGTGTCTGACTTTCAGTTCAGCATTTTTACTACGGGTCTCAAGGGTTTTTTTTCATGGCTATAGAGGAGTACACTGCTGTCTTTGAGTGCAGAGCTCATTGAGACGGTATTGTTAAACCTGTTCAGGATCACTGCCTGCTGCTGGGGAGAGGAGGAGGGGAAGAGATCTGAGTTCCATGGCACGGGAGGGTCCTTTCCGTCCCTACATTTCTCTGCTTCTACCCGCTGGGCTTTCCTGGTAAAACCTCTGTGGGATCTGAGTGATTGCAGTCTGTCTTCCTTGAAGTTTCAAGATGACTTACTGTTGCCATTTGGTCTTTTAGAGCAAAGCTACTGACTTGCTAAAAATTAAAATGCAGTGAATTAATAAAATCATAGCATGGTTTGGGTCAGAAGGGACCCATCATCTAGTCTAAGCCCTCCACTACAGGCAGGGACACCTTTCACTAGGTCAGGCTGCTCAGTGCCTCAGCCAGCCTGACCATGAACGCTTGCTGTGATGGGGCATCCACAACTTCTCTGGGCAACCTGTCCCAGTGTTTCACCGTCCTCATCGTAAAAAAATGTCTGTCTTATGTCCAATCTAAACCTGCCCTCTTTGAGTTTAAAACCATTGCCCATTGTCCTGTCACTTACAGAAACCTTGGTAAAAAGTCTCTTGGTCTTTTTTACAAGCTGCCATTACGTATTGAAAGGCTACAGTAAAGTCTCCCTGGAGTTCTATTCTCTAGGCTGAACAACCTCAACTCTCTCAGCCCTTCCTTATAGGAGAGGTGCTCCAACCCTCTGACCATTTTCGTGGCCCTCCTCTGGACCCACTCTAACAGGTCCATGTCTGTCTTCTGTTGGGGACCCCAGAGCTGGATGCAGGACTGCAGGTGGGGTCTCACCAGAGCAGAGGGGCACGTTAATGTTAATAAAATGTGAATGTTTATAGCTTGGGTAGTAAGTAGTTACTGTAAACAACAAAAAATGGAGAATTGATTTCTTGATAATGGAAATTTCTGCCAGGTAGAAGGCCAGAGCCTTTGTCATGCTGTTGTTTACTTTTCTTGCAAGTCGGAACTTCTTAGAATTGAAACTCTAAGCTAAATTGTTCTCTGGCATCATCAGCATGAGCCCAGAGGTCTTGGGAGAAGCTCATTCCTTTGGCTTCTCCCTACAGCATCATGCTTATCTTTAAGCAGCATATGCTGTTTATTTTTTATCGCTACTCCAAACATTTGTACTGGATTGTATTTCCACTTCTGCCTTCTTATGAAGGAATTCCAGCTGAACAGTTAATGTCTCCTTTCACTTGAGCTTGTGTTTTTCTGGATAGTGAATTAGAGGCTCCTTACAGTTTATTAATTTTGCCTTTTGCATTACGTAACCTGTACAAGATTGTAAGTACATAATGTAAGTTTGAGTAGTGTGATCCTTTATAGCTCATTTTACAATTCTTGGCCTATTCCACTTCAAAATTCTCATAAGCAGTGTAAGTTGGCCAAAATACACACTTCATGTTAATTAAATCTCTTAAATAGAGTCTAATTTTCTTCCTCCTCTTGAAGTTGTTGAAAGATTGGTAGTAAAAGAAAATTAGTTGATTGATAGCATCATGTATTTGATTGGTGCAGAAACCAGATAACCGCCTCAGGTGTATGGTGAACTCTTTATTCCTATGTGAACATTCAACACATTTGAAATTGACAATGTTATTTCAACATTTATCCTGACAAGATCATTTTATAGAAGATCAGAATTAACAAACTGAGGAAGCACTAGACCATGTAATGTATAAATTTTAAAAAAGTCTTTTTTCCTTCAGTGGGTTTACTCTTGCTAAAGTTTTGCACTTCAGCTGAAAGTAATCTTGAAAGATTAGCAATTGATATCACTGGATTTAATTTTTTTTTGGAGATGATTCTTTGTAAAACAAATAATTTGACTATTGCTAATATGGGGTCTTGAGATAAATGGTTAAGTGTCCATTTTCTCTCCTGACCTCTTGACTCATGCAGCGCAATTGTAGTGGGCAACGAGTCAGTAAAACAAAATTATCTTCCCCTCTCCTTAAGATGAGGAAAGAGAAGTTTTTCTGTGCAGGGTAATTGAGAGTATCCTGAGAGAATAAAATGTTGAGTGTTGATGAAAAATAAACCTACTTCATTCTATCTGATGAAGTTGCTGTCCTAGTTTTGTTTTCATTTCTGTCTGCAAATGTTTTCTAAGAGGTTTAACTTTCTCAAATTCATAAGACACTTCTAACTTACATCTTGGTTTCTATCTCGTTCTTGTGTTTTGGCAAGATCTCTCTGTCACAGTTTAGCTTCCAATAGGCATGGAGGCCATCCAAAATAGTTTCCATTTCCCACTGAGGTACATTCTTAGAAGAACTTTTTCAATCCAAATAGCTGGCATTTATTACTCTCTTTTTAATTGCTTAGTGTAATACTTGCTTACATTTGCTGATTTAATGTCTTTTCCTGTCTGTAAACGGAGAGCCCCAAAGGGCACATTCGTGCAGTCACTGAATGCAGTTTACATAGTTTGACGGATGTTTTGGGAAAAGCAGATTGTGTGTATGTGCTGTTTGTCACAGATGGTGTCCCAACAAGAAGAAAGTTGTGCTCATGCTGAAGGGAAATGAAATTAAAGTAAATAAATGAAATAGCAAAAAAAAAAAAAAAAAAGATGGCCTAGAGTTAAGCGTAATTTTTTCCAGCAGCTTTGGGCAAAGCGGTCAGTATGGCACACGTCTGCTTGAGCTCAGCAAATGTTCTCAAGTTGTGCTATGTAGGGAACAAACAATGAGCAGGAGAAATCTCTGGACAATTTTGTTCCTATGGATATTACCAGTGACCCAATTTTAAGTCTAATACCTTTTCTGGTGAGCTTTTTGTGAAACCTGATCATGCAAGTAGATAAGGATGTTAATTCTATACGAAAAAGAAAAGGTAAGTATATTGCTAGTCTTAGAGATTGTAAAGAAAAATCTTAGAAGATAGAAGGGTTCTGAAACTTTAAAAAGGCACATTTCACCCCTAATAACTTAGGTGGATCATTTATTATTCAGTTTCGTTTTGAGGGACCTGTGAATTTGTAGTGATTTTTAGAGCTCACTAGAATCACGCTGTGAAAACCAGAATACAGTTTGAGTCCCGTGCCCATAGAGAAATGCCGATCTCAGCTCCTTCCTCAGAGTTCAGGATTGTTAATGGAGGAGAAGAAACAGGACTTACTTTATGCAGCATATGGCTGAAAACCAAGCTGATGTGCATTAGGGACCTTCAGGTAGAGTCTGTGTTTAAATTCTGTTGAGCGGGGCTGAGCTGTATGGCAAACTGCTCTTTGCACTGCCATAAATCCTAAACATCCATAAATCTTCAGTCCATGCCCTTCCTACTTTTAGCCTTCACTGGACTATTACATTACTAAAGTCCTTTCAGTAGTCTAAGCTCCTGAATTAGTTTTTATTTACCCCATATAAAGCTTTTCTTCTGGGTTTGTCCTGCTGCCTCTTGGCTTGCAGTTGAACTTAGTTGTATGAACAGTCAGATGAGCTCTGGTCCTTCTCTTGCCTTGTAGGACTCCTCAGTGGACAGACCTCTCCGACCAACACCAAACTGGAAAAGCTGGACCCCCAGCAGGTGCTGCAGCTGTGTCTCCGGTACCAAGATCATCTTCACCAGTGTGCAGAAGCGGTTGCCTTTGATCAGAATGCGCTGGTGAAACGGATCAAAGAGGTACGGCTCGCAGCGTGCCCGCTTCTGGCGGGGAAGGGCTCGGGGACATCCGTGTGGCCATCTTGTGCTGTGAACGCAGGTGCTTGCTGGAGATGGCCTTGGGTCACTTGCAGCAGTCCACTTCAAAGTGAACCCTGTAAAGAAACTTTGTGAGTGTGCGCTTCAAGCAAAGTTTCCTGGCTTTGATTGTGGTTGGTGTTGTGCTTATTGGTTAAACTCTGTGATTCCTGGCTGTAAACAGTGGGTGTTCCTCTGGTATGGCAAGTACTGCAAGTAGCTATTGAAGAAGTAAAAGATGACCGGAGTTTTAAAGGTAACATTCCTTGTTTAGATCTGTATGCTCAACATTTTATTATGCATCATGGTTAAGCTCTAATTTAATGAAAGAAATGGTTATCCTAACATCTGTGGTTGGAGAAGGTAGTATTTCTTTGTTTCTTCAGTGGATTTGTAGAGCTAGACTTTGTTTTCAAAGCCTGTAACTTGCTGTCTCTTCTCTGATCTGTATGGCAAAAAGATCTTCCCGTGCTGCTGTTTTTACCACTAAACCATCATCTGAAAATCACTGATCTGCTTAAATATTCAATGATACTCATGGGGAGGAAATTAATTCCTGGGGTGAGCATCCTGCAATTGGATTTTCTTTATTGTGTGTAACTACTGATGTTGGAAGCATTAGGATGGCTGATAGATTTTTTTTTTTTTTTTTTTTTAAAGTCAAGACAGCCTGGCATGAGACGACATGCTGTTGGAGAGTGTTTTCTTACATATTCCCAGGTGTGTAGAAGAACTGGTGAATGCTGCATATATCAAAAGTCTGTGGGATCAAATACATTTCAATGTCAAAAGAAAAGTTTTGGAACAGGTGGTTAATTTTTATTCATGCAATATAAACAATGACCTTGATTCGTTGTTGCTCTGTTGGCTTAGAGTTAAGAAAATCCCACATGACAAACTGGATAATAAATGTAATTCATGGTCTGTTTTGAGAAGCTGCTGTCATCATGAAGTTTTAAGTCCAAAATAACGTGGGAGCCATTAAAAAGGCTTTTTACTTTGGTGTATCAAGATCTGAGGCCAGCTATTACACAAGATGTAAAGATATTTGCAGATGTTGGTGACTCAGATCACACAATCTCAGAAAGGGGATTTAATTGCCAGCCTAATGACAGTGTACTGCATTAATCCAAGCAGATTGTAATTCTTTTGGCTGTTAAAGTGTGAGAGGGAATATTGACATGATTTAAAGTCATGGTAGACTTCACCAATGCAACATGCATTCGTTGGATTAACCTTCTATAGGACAAATGGTAGACTGCCTTTCAAATTAGCTATGGTGATGTTTTCTTCCAATTCTTAAGGCTTACAATTTTTTTTCATGTAAAATAAGTAAAATGATGATACTGATACTGTCACTAGCTTCTTTATCACAGGCTTCTCTCTGACAAAATGAAGGAAACGTAGACGACTCTCTTAAGTTGGGCAACTGACAAGTCAGTTGGGCTGTGTTTGGGTTTTTTGTGGTTTGTTTTTTTTGGGGTTTTTTTTTTTGGTCACAACACTTAAGTAACTTCAGATGCTTTCAATCCCTTTGCCAAATCTGGTGGGTTTTTACTGTTCATTTTCCTAATAATTTTTAAATGTTTTTCTTGCATTGGCTGTTCTGCGTGTGTGTTCTGGAGGAGCCGGGTGGGACTCACTCAGCTTAAATCATTCTTTCCAAATTGTTTGGACTCTCCTTGGTGCACTAAATTGAACTGCTGTTGACAGTTGTTGACAACAAGGGGTGCAGCTGAACTAGAGCAGGGTATGTCTCTCCTTACAAGTGTAGACAAAGGAAATCGTGTTTGGCTGCACCCATTTGTCAGCAATGATTTAGTTTTACTGTGTAGACAAAGCTTTGACCCTTGGTAAGGAGTAAAAATGAAAGAGAAAATGAAATGTGTTTTGAAAATCATAACGTGTGCCTGAGGTGGACAGTAAATTCTTTTTATCCTCGTTTTAGTAGCCACTATTTCAGTTTTCCTCTCACACTGGAAGCATTTTGAAGTGTTTTTCTTCTGATAACAGTCTTACCAAGTGATTGATCCTTTTAACTTTCCTACAGAATGTTGGTGAGCTTCAGTCCCCAATTCCTGCTGTTTTTCTGACGTATACCTGCTTTTCAGTCACTGACTGTACTCACTGTAGTCATAGTCCTACTGTGTAATATGCTACAGTCATACTGCCTGCAGCTGGGATTTTTTTAGTCTTTCCTTGACAAAATGTCCGAGGGCAAATATCTTGCTCATTGTCTTTGTGGCCAGAAAAAAAGTTTCCTGGTTTCTGGCAAGACTCAAAAGTACTGCTGTACATTTATTGGTCCTCGATAACTCGTAATTGACTGTGGTGGTTTGTAAATTGGCACACTATCTGAATTAAAATGGTTCTTACTAGGAAAGAGAATAAGCTAAGGAAAACAAAAACCTTGCATGCCAGTAGTTACTGCAGATCTAAGTAGACTCCATCTGTGTGTTCCCTTACTTTGGGGACCAACACAGTCTAGCTTTGCTCTCCATCCCAATTCCCAGTTTAGCCAGAGTTTCTTTGCAGTGTGTTGGCTGGATCCGTATCTGCTCCTAAACGTAGAACTTATGTGACTTCCAGGTTGCTGTGGCTGTTCTCATATACATTTATATCTCAAATACATTTACCTAAGCGTTTCCTCGAAGGGGAAAGAATTGAAGATGTGATTGAAGGTAGTTGACTCCATGGCCTGTCTTCAGCAGTTACACTTACTTGTACCCTAACTGTTGATTTTGGAAGGGATTGATTTTTATCACAACAGGTTTTATCTTCACTGCCAAAAAAAAAAAGGATGTGCTTGCATCTTTTTAGGGAAGAATAACTGCTATGCATTAAATATTATGTTTCATATTAATTTTTGGCAGCTGACTCACCATCTGTTGCAATACTGCATTAATTCCAGGACCACTGAAATATTTAGGATTCTTTTCAATTTTTTCTCCTTATCAGTTTGAAAAACAACAGAATATTTGTGTTAATCTAGGGTTATGGCATCTCACAAAATTTGACAGTTTTCAAGAAAAAAGCCTGTGTGTAGCATTTTCTGAGTAATTTGTCTACTCTTTGGTATTTTGTAGGATGAAATGTTTAGCTTATTGGATCAATCACCACATTATTGACTTCTGGGGCATTCTGTTCAGATGGGAACAGGATCTAGTCTGTCTACTGATGGTATGTTTGACCCATGTGAGCTTGTTATACATGTACGCTGGGAAAAAGGCACATTTTTAAAACCCATTAGCTAATGTAGTATAATATGCTAAGATAAAAAAGGCAATTGTAGGTAGTTAACAGATTAAACTGATCTTACTGCACCTTGGAGCTTTTATCAGTGTGTTTAATGATGGGGAGAAAGTTGACAGCGTGCCTTACGGAGAATGTGATACTTCAGACTAAAAATCACAGGAGTGAACTGTGCTCGGTAAGCTGGGATAAAAATAATCTTGGTCTACCTATTCTTGGGTGTTGCACAGAAAATCTCCTTAGTGTATATCTGCATGAGGACAAAAAATGCTCAACTGCAGTGTTCTTCCTTTATCTCTGTGGCGGGTTTATTGGCCTTGCTGTAGACAGGAGGTCTTAACTTGCTGTATCCCACGTCCGTCTCTGCCATGACAGTGCAATAGGTCTGTGTTACAACTAGTTTGAAGTTTTGAGCAACTCCAGCTACTGTTGGATTTGAGACCTGTGTGCATTCCCTTCACCAAGACCGTCTGCCTCAGTTTTGCGATCTGTAAAATGGAGAGTTTCCGCTAAGGTTAGTTTGAAGGCAAATGTTGACCAGCACTAAATATTAGGTATGACTGCAAGGAAAGAAGCAAACGAAGCAAGGAGATGGCTGCTTTACATTAAGTCCATATCATTGGAAGATGTCTCTCTTGGGTGGCAGGGAGAGAATTTGGAAAGTCATCTGATACAGGATGGTGAATAACAAGGAATGGGAAACAAGTAGGATAGGTAAAGGCAGGGGAGCAGAGCTAAATCTTCAGAAAGGGCTCATGATTTTGTGTGCCTCCAAAATTGTCTAGTTTCAGTGTCTTAAAAAATCTTTCTTCATAGCTGAAGCTGGGTATCCAAAAATTACTAGTCTCACTTGAAAACTTAAGCCTAGCTTCTTTCTATGAAGGTAAAAGGGAAGCTGAAAGCCATCTAAGGCCGTTTCAAAGATGTTTTGAAAGAAAAGGTCTTCAGCATTTCTTACTAGAATTCCAATGTTGGCAAAGGGGATGTGCTACTCAAAGTAGCCTATATACCCTTAAAGGCAAATGTAGTTCCTACATTAACGGTGCTTGAAATGTATTAAGTGGACTATTAGGAGGGCTCTAACACTTTACCCTAAACCCAAATATCAATGCAGTGTATCTGTAGCTTTTATTGCCATAGGCAACCCAGGCTGACAATAATTTTGAAAACAGAACACTTTTTACAATACAAAATGAAATAAAAAATATCTCAGTGTAAGCTGACACATGCCTACAGGAAAAAAATAACACCTTTTCAAATAACAAACATTACTTTTATATTTGTAACAAATGTGCTGGTGGAACAGTTAAACAACATCTGTCCAGGCAGGCATTAATATCAGTAATTGGTTTGCTGCATAGCAAATTAGTTTATGGTTTGTTTCATACCTGTGAATTCCTCTATGGGAATGGCTCATTATTTTGAAGAAATATTCCAAAATAAGATACGTATGGATTTTTTTCTTTACCAGCTTGCTGCAAAGAGTAATTATAATGGGCTTTTCTAGTATGTAGTTAAGATGTCCAGAAACACAGCCCTTAGTATTTGGCAAGTAAATAATTTTTGAAGCCACACATACACCGCATCATGTGTCTCAATACATGTTAGCTGTGTAAAATTACAGGTAGGGGTTAAATCATTATTTTATATAAGCAACAAGCCTAGTGCATTTGACAGACCAACAAAAAAAA